ACTTGATTTCGGAATGAAGTAGGATCCACCTTTTTTATTCAACCATTCCAACAGTTTCCGATCCCTCTTCTTAGCCATACTAGTGCACTAAAGTATCCTTGGAGGATCAATTGTGATATGGTTTCATAATCACTAAGATGATCATAAAACATGATACTCAAGTACTCTCCCATCTTTTCAGATTGAAGAAACTTTTATCTTTCTGCCTAATTGATTATTCTTATTCGTTCTGCTATTCATTGAAACTTTTCCAATGACTCAGAATTACACTTAATCTTGTAAGTATAACCATATTCACTAAACTTTTAGTAAATCATAACAAATAGTCTCATCGCTTTTTGTGGTGGACTTGACCAGCGCACAACAATGTGTACTAGATACCCTACTCCTTTCACTTGACTCGCATCTATATGTGATCAAGGAATTAGTCTCAATTTGCCAAATAAAAAGGTTCTAATTCATCACACAATACAAGTTGTATGATTCCAAGTTTTTGTCCTATTGAAACTTGGTTGATGAGAATCTTTCCTTATTTGTTAAATTGACATTACCACAAATAACATAATTAAGAATCAAATCAATTCACAATATTGCTAACAATAGAAACATTCAAACACCAATTTTTCACAAAAGCCATTTCAAGGAAACATAAATGAGACAAAATCAAAATTTATTTTATTTATAAAGGTGCGGAAAAACTTTTCCTTACAATGCTATTACAAATGAAGTCTATGTTACTAAATATTTCTAGGCAATCTATCATAACTCTTAAGTACCAACTCAAAAACCTGATCATCGAATCATGCGATCGAAATCCATTTCTTCGCGATCAGAGTCAGCTCACTTCTTCCTTTAAGCTTCCTTTCTTTTCTTCGATCCTACAAAACATCAAAATGCAATCTTATCACATCATGTATTAATAATCTACAAATAGGAACTTAATAGAGTTAGATTGTGAATTTTACCTGAAGTAGAGTCATATATCTTGACTCTCCTATCTCTTAGATCTCTCAGGTAGTTAGGGAAGCTTCATAACCAATGCCCCTTCTCTTGGAAATAGAAACATATAGACTCTTTGGGAATGACACAAGGCACAATCTAAGATTTTGCCTTTCTCTTATGGTCAAACTTTTTAACCATGGCAGATTTCTTTCCCTTAGGAGAGGAAATCCTTTCTGGACTATCGTTGCCATTGCCTATGTCCATGGAAGTTTGGGAATTTGATCTACCAGTCAAATTTACTTTACCAGTACGCCAAATCATTGTTGTTTCAGCAGCAACAAGTAAATAGGTAAGATCAATGAGGGTCACATCGTGGTCCATTATATAGTACTCTCTTACGAACTCACTATATATGTCAGGAAGCGATTGAAGAATCCAGTCAACAGCTAGCTTCCTAGAGAAAACAACACCCAACATTCCTAACCTGTCAATGTGTGACTTCATCTCCAAGACATGTGCACACACATACTTTCCATCTTCGTGTTTACTTGCCAAAAGGGCTTGAGTGAGCTTGAACTTTTCAAGTCTTCGAACAAGAGGGTCAGGGAGAATACATAGAGGAGGTGGAGGAAGTGAAGCATAATTTTCATTTCCACGATCCAATTGTGGAACATCATCTTCATGTGGAAAGCTTTTTCCAAAGGATTCAGGAAGACCACAATTGTCAGAACTAGACATCTACAAAAGGGAGAAAATTCAAGTTAGTTGATTGAGTCCTTAATGCTACACCCAAATGAAACATTAAGGCTAGGATCCAACACAATACTCTACAACTCAGAAGAGGGATGCCGTAATCTAGTTGCAGAATATTTGAAGGTAGGTAAATAACGATTTACCAATTTCCACCATGAAAAACGAAAACAAACATTAAGTTTTAAATGAATTGAAACTCCTAGATCTTTTGAGAATTATTGAACTTTTCAATGGCATGTTTAATCTCGATTACGCCCTTCAAGTTTGTGACTGGGATGCCGAGGATCACAAACAAGGTGTGAATAACCATGCAAATGTACTTGGTACACTCAATGCTATCACCTAATGATTGTGCCGGTTAGCCACACACGCTCCATTGATCTATGAAAAACATCGAGTCACCCTTTTCCACCCTTGCCAGTCCCAAATTAGTGTGCCGGTTAACCACACACGCTCCACTAACGTCTCAGCAAGGTGCAAAGTGTAATTTCATGGGTTAGCACCAAATTCACATTTTTCCTAAAGTAACTAAGATTTGGGAATTTATAAAAGTGTTTAGTTACTTAGAACTTCATTATACTTATAATGGAAGGTTGTGTCCTATCCTACCCGTTCGGGTAACAGACCTCCACTAGTCAAGAGTGCGGTGGGTGAGAGTGGACACCCATTCAATCGCCATTTTATAGGCAATTTTCTTAAACACCCCTTATAAACCAGCTTCGTGAATGAGGCGGTAACACTGACTTTTACTTATACATATATAACATATTAAACTTTTAATTTATATAGTATAAGGGTGTATTTTACACTTTTAAAATACTAGGTGGTTTTTTTTAATTTTTCTCTTTTAATTACACACTTAATTAATTTAATAAAACCATAAGGGTCTAAATTTGACCTAATTCAATTTCCTTACAATATAATTCAAATCAAAACTACAAATAATTAATATTTATCTTATAAAACAAGTAATTATCTTAATTTTGACAATTATCTACAATTTAGATTAGGATAATCAATACCATAATGAAAAAATCGAATTTTATCTGTTAAAAACATTTTTGGTAATTATCCTAAGCCAAAATAGGTCAAAATGCCGAAAAATCTGGCATCTAACCTTCCGACTTGTCGAGCCAACTTTGGACTCGTCGAGTTGACAGTGAACTCGACGGGTTCACCTATGGACTCGGCGAGTCCATGCTTCAAAATGTAGTTTTTCGCGACTTTCAGCTTTGAATGATCAAATATAGCATCAAATACATTAGATAAGCAACCTAGGCTCTGATACCACTGATGAGTTTCGAGCATTACATCAATCCTATGGTGTACATGCAAACCCTAAAGCTTTGGATCTAGTTTGTCTAGTTGTACATGCAATAATCATCCAAAGCTCATAAACCCTAGATCTAGTATACTATAATCGAAATTACATATGAAATTAGGGTTTAGATCTTACCCTGATTGTTATGTAGCAATAACAATCACAATCTTTCTTAATCTTGACTTCTGAAAGCCTAGTGCCCCAAGTGTTACACCTCTAATGGAGTCACAAACACCACTAGCAACAAGAATGAACAAGAGAGAGAGGAGAGGCACCAAAAATCATCCAAGGGTACTCTTAGAAGGTTAGGGACGATTTTGGTTGCCTAAAAGGTTCCTTTTATAGTTAGGCTTTTAGGGTTATCAACTTGGAAACCCTAATTCCCTGGCTTAGGCCCTAAGCAACATATGGACTCCTTATTGGACAAGCCTTGGACGAAATCTTAATGGACTCTCCAAGAGATTTCGTCCACCTTATACCAATAAAGTCCATGAGTCCAAACTATAAATATTACTGATTTACATAATCACTCCCCGTTCATTTAATCAGTCTCCTTTGATTACAAAATTAATTCCAAATTAATTTCAGATCAACACTAATTAAATAATATGATTTCTCTTAATATATTATTCTCATAATATATTAATAAACCATAATAAATCCTCTTTCTCCATAATTCACCCTACAAGTTGCTATGGTGAAGGCAACCCAAAAGGACCATGCTCATAATCGGGTCAAGTACATACCAAAATAGTTATGGGCTTAGACACCTAATCCAACACATTTATGACACTCATTTACGAATTGCAATGCGTATCAAGGTAGGCCGTGTCATAAAGGAAGACGACACACATTTGCGTGTCATAACCTTACAACATGCATTTAGGACACACATTGTGTATCATTAAAGCCCCGATCATAAATGAAAATGACATGAATTTGTGTGTCATAATTTTAAATGTTTTAAA